CATATTTTGATTATAGTTGTACATAAATTATTCACATTACAGCTTTTTAAAGAGCTTTAAGACGCTGTGCAGCTTTATTCAGATAACACTTGGGGTATAATTACAGTCAACCAAGGATCTATAGGCCATTTATAGGTTTATATTTACTGATGGCGGGACCGAGACTTGTAAATACACACACACACTCGCTTAAGACGCATATACCCACTGATAATAGAGGCAGGGTGACTGTTTGCGTTAAGACACGAGGCTGCTGCGAAGCAAATGTGTTGACTCAAGGTGCACAAAAATAAAAAATAAGTTAACAAATAAAAAAAAAACTCTCTACCAAATACACACTGTGCGGAATGTGATATGCGGCCGAAGGGTCCGGCAGTGACCAGACAGTTGGGCGCCCAGCTGGCAAATTAGATGAACTCGTAATGGGCCATGTAAATCACGATAGTTATACCACATAAGCGGGGGGCATTACGTCCGCATTTATATGGCAGAAGTGAAGCGCTAATGATTGATGTCTTGCCATGTGTGTGTGTGTGTGTGCGAGTGTGTGTATTTGTTAAAGCAATTCGCGCACACTTATCAAGTTTAATGAATTTCCAATTTACAATCAATTTTGGCACTCGGCTAGCCACAAAAAAGATTCGAAACCAAATTATTTATAACATTTGTAGATTGATTTATTTATGTGTGAAGGAGACGCATTGGCCGATTTTGATTAGCAATCAAATGAATCGACTATTTCACACGATCCCCCCAATACCATATGCAGACACAATATATGCGATTGTTGGCATAAAATTTCCACAATCGAGTGCTAATTGGGGCATAGACATCGTCATATATAGAGATATGTATGGCCACGTGCTCCGCTGACTTGTTCGTGTGAAAGCTGGCGACTCACTGTGTAAACATTGAAAATCCCACCAAAAATAAATAATAAATAAATATATATAAATTTATCGAAAATTATTAACCACGTGCTAATAACTAAGCACACACCAAATACATACACACATATGTGTGTGTGTGTGTGTGTGTGTGTCTGTCAAATGATTTGGCTATGTGGGTTAGGGGCTTCAAATACATGATGCGCCGCTGTTTTTGGTTTTACCAATTTATTTATTTATCTTTTTCTTTATTTTTTTTTTGTTTTGCCCGCACGCAAACTCCTAAATTTCGCATATTGTATGCGGGTCTGTGTAGTCATGTGACCAGCTGGCTAGCCAGTCAGCAAAACGTCTAAATATGGACACGACTTGGCCATGATTCAGTGTGAGGGGAGCGGCCGGCTGGCAGACATTCGCCAGCTAAGTAAATACACAGTTTTAGCCAGTTTTATAATAATAATTATTATAATAATGACGATCGCACACTTACTATGCGAGATAAAGTGAGTGATAAAAAAGGAGCAGTTACTAAAGAATTTAGTCGCAAGCCAAATTGGAAATGAACGATAACAAAAACTCACACACACACACACACACACAGACACGCGCCCGTAGTTGATGGAAATTTACCCAAGCGTGTCGCCCATATAAACAATTTAATAAATTAGCGTTAACTGTCAGCAAAAGCAAACACAATTCTATTTGGTTTACAGCGCCCAAAAACCTGACCTACCACAATGTTAATATGCCACACTCCACCCACCAGAGCAGGGAGAAGCAGCAGCAGCAGCAGCAGCAGCTGAAATTCTCAATGAGTTTTAACTGCCAACGCTTTGAAGTTTACACTTTAGCAAAGTGCAAAAACCTCGCGTTTAATTAGCAGAGTGAAAAGTTTATCACGTGATGGCGAACCAGGGAGAGCAGCAACAGCTGAGTGCGAGAGAGAGTGCGACTGTAATGGCCATAAATACATATATACACACATACATAGGCACATGTACATATATATATATATATATATATATATATGTGTGTGTGTGTGTGTGTGTGCCTGCCCTGTTGCCACGAATTGGCCAATACACACTTGAAAGTGCCAAAATGCTGGTGATATATGCTATATATTCCGCGCCTTATCGGGCATTTAGGCCATTAAACCACCCCACCCCAGCCCCCTCGCACACACACACACACATATGCATGTGTGCTGATCGCGCTAATCGATTTAACAGAAATCGCTGCGCAAACGATTCGCGCACGTTGTGAACTGAATGGGAAATGCAAATTGTAAGTGAACAATTGAAATAGCTGTTGTTATTATTATTATTATGATTGTTGTTGTTGTTGCTGCTGCTGCTGCCGTTGATCGAACGAGTCACACGCACACTATCGCAAAATCAATAAGCAAACAAACACAAACAAACATGCATACAAACAAACAAAGAGAGACCGCAATCAGAACCGTTGACGGCGAGTGCAAGCGTCAAAAATCAACATTGTTAACGCGCACAGTTCAGCATATAATATATAAGTAAATAAACAGTAATAAATAATAATTAAATGAATTAACAGCAAAACAACAGAGCACTGCATGTGACGCAGCGAAGCGAAGACTAGATACCCTCACTTGTCTAAGAATAAACCTATACTCGACAAATCTGTCCAATTTTAAATATCCTTCGCTTTAAGGGTATTTATACAAACACTATGCCATGCACATACCTCACCCAATTGCGGCGAAGCCAACAACAAAATGTGTATGACATAATAATCACGAGAGCAGGCAGCGACTGTGAACGCCGATTAGCAAGTCATGTGATTCGTTTTTATTTACATTTGCGCCTGACGTCCGCCGTTGCCGCAGCCGTCTCGCTGCCACCAATGCCAACACAATCATACACACACACATATACACACACACAAACACATGCAGACGCCTACGTTACCCCAACGACGTCGTTGATCGGAAGAGAGCGCGAGAGTGGCAGACTGAGAGCTCGTTTCTACAAACGAGGCGAAACTAGCCGAGGCGAAATTAGTGGGGCGAATGGAGAGCAACAGCGCAGTCGCGGGCTGGTAATAGTGTCGTTGGCTGGGGGCGCACCTTTGATTTGCACTTTGACTTCCAACAGCACCACAACAGATATCAGACCACAAATACACACACACACGCACACATAGACACATAGATAGGAATATACAGAGATGGGACCGCGCAGCATTGCATTTTGGCGTACGTGACAAATATAGAAGCATTTGCCAAAATGTTTGTTGGGTTATTGTCCCCATTTACGTTCGCCAATTTGCGTACGAGGCACAAAGAGGAAGAGATAAAGAGAGTCGCGAACTGCCAGTCACAAAGGCTAGGCAAGCCAATGGAAATGCTATCGTTCCAATACTTGTGCATGGGTTTTGTTTTTGTATTTTTTTTTTTTTTTTTTGCCCACACGCTGATTGCATGTGCAGCTGCCTCACGGCCACAGGGGTTGTGCGCCTTTGTTTTCGCCGTCCTTTAACGGACGACTTAATGCCAGGTGCTGGGCATTACCGACAGTCGTTAGAGATGTGTGCGTGATGAGTATAGCTATCACGACACACGTGCCGATCTACAACACTTAACGTACCCGTATGCATGTGTATGTGTGTATATTTACATACAAACTCATTCTCCGAAAACACACTCTCTGACAAACACTTACCTTAGATAATTTCTGGACGTTTGCGTAGCTTTTGCGGACGACGAACTATTGTTGCCGGCAGAGGCGTGTGTACGTGATGCCGCCTCCGCTACTGTTGTTTGGCCATAATTTAGCGTTGCTTGCGCTGTCGTTGTTGTTGGGGTTGTTTGTTGGGGCGCAGAGAACTGCGGTGGCGCTGCCGATGGCGTCGCTTGCGTGGGTGCTGCTGCTGCGGTTGGCGCTGGTACCGACGGAAAGAACAGTTTGTTCAACAAGGCCATAATAATATACAACTGGCGCAATCGCAATCATTTATTAAACACATCTGGCCAGCCAACACAAATTATTGCAATTCACTTGAAACAATTGCTCTGCCTCTTGCTTTTCCGTTTGCCTTTAGTTTTGCAGCTCTTTTTCTTTTCGTTGTCGCTGTTGTTGTTGCTGTTGTTTCTGTGCATGTGTCTCGCGGGTGGAGAGCTGTGGCGGCGGCAGTTGCAAATGCCGTTATTTGTGTAACACACGCGCTGTCCGAGACGCACCAATACAAGCAAATAAAAAAGCTAAACAAACGCTTGACGCACACTCAAGATTTTACACAATTGAACTTTCGCTTTACACTTTTCTTTTTATTTACATTTGCTTGTATGCACAGAAACACACACATACTACTTTAACACACATTCACACACATGTGCACGTATGCTGCTTGCTCTTTTTGGCAAATGATCTCTTCCTGTCTTAGCCAAAATACACACGCGCGCTGTTCTTTGGATTGGATATTGCTATTTTTGTGTTTATTTGCGCGAAAGTCGTCCGGCGCGGGGTGGTCGGATGCGGCGGGCTCTGCCAATTTCACAAGCAAGCATACACAAATTCTGCATTTATTTTCTCCACTTTTAATCAAAATAATTAACGATTTTGCGCGCCCACATACACACACGTCCGCCACAAATCAGATGTGTATTTGCTGTTTGATGCATGTACATATATACCGAATATTGTTGAAACGCACAAGAAATACGTATGCGCATTTAGTTGTCGTTTTATTTTTCAAACAAATTATTATTTTTCCATTCGACGCGCGACGTGCATGCTACTCCGACGGCAAAACAACAACAAATGTTATTCTTCTTTAATGTTAATACGTTAACAGGAACCACCGCGTCTACTTTTGATACTTATGCTTGAAGAGCTGTTATTGCTCAAATGAACTGGGGCTGCTCAAATTATCTTTTAAGTTGCTGTTAAGTCTAACATACAATGTTAATGGTATTATCGAAAACTTATCGATATTATCCCATTATATTGGCTGTTATTTTCAAACTTGTATCAAATTTGGAGAATAAAATTCGAGTTTTAAAATTATTTTTAACAAGTTATTCAAGGAAGTAACAAATTTAGTTAGGCCACTTTTATAATTTGATAAATTTTAATTGTTGAACTTTATTTGTTGACTTACATAAACATACTCAAAAAATTTTAGACCCACATACATGCGAGGAAAAAGTGGGAAATTGGTTTTACATATGCTGTTACTTTCTTCTTTTTTTCTTTCTTTTCTTCATTTTTAGTTAAACTGATCAAAAGTAAAAAAAAAAAACATTTCATTCTTAGACATTAATGCTAAGTATTTGTAATTCCTGCCACCACCGATGTGTAGGAATACCGTAGATAATTGAAAGTGTTTACGTTTGTCGCAATAACTATAAGAGATTTTGATATCAAATAGAAATAAATGATGCGACTTTGAGCCGCTCCATAGAGAGAAGCTTACATTATGGTTTTAGTGTTTTATACTTTGTTAAACTGGTTGCTTGCTTGCGTGCCTGTATATGTAAGTATGCGTGTGTAAGTGTACGTGTGTGTGGTGTGTGTTGTGTGTGAGTGTGGAGCGTGGGAGAGAAAATATGTTGGCCACAGAGCTAACTATTCCTTGCATGTGGAAGTATCCATGGGGCTGGCCGGCTGTATAAACGCCGTGGCCGCACCACTTGGTTGATTGGTGGGCGTAAAAGCCGAAAGGGATGAGTTGCTGCTGCTGTTGACCAAATTACCGCTGGACGAATTGTTCATCATCAAGTTGGACGACGAGGACGAGGCACTGCTAGATGTGCCCGTTAACTGGTTATTCAACGATAAGATGCCGCCGGCAACAAAAGTGCCTGCACCGCCGCTGGCATTATGTGCCGTTCCCTGCGTTAATCCACCACCTAAGCTCAGTCGTTCGCTGCTAAGATTCGATAGAAAGCCACCCATACCACCGCCAACACCAACACCAGCGCCAGTACCAGCACCAGCGCCAGCGCCAGTTGCGTTGCCGCCATAGATGCCAGCGGGTCCGGTGGCCATTAATGGATTTGCGGTGGTTAACACATTCGGTGCGGAAGTGTTAAGGCCCAGCATGGGCGTAGGCAGTGCTGGCTTGATGAAGCGCTCGCTGGCGCGACGATTCTATAAAGTTTAAATATTTTGTTAATATGTCTATCCGGATATCACACTGTAATCGTGCTTACCACAAGTTGCCCGCAGGCATAGCAACGGTTCTGTCCGGCCGTTCCGGGACTAAGGGGACGACTGCTTGAGGGACTGTGCGAAACGGGACTGCTAATGGTACGCTGTCGTTGAGCATTTACAGCTGCAGCAGCAGTCGGTCCGCCAGCCATAAGATTCTCATTGTAAAAGCGCTCCTCGTCCATTTCCAGCGACGACTCCGATTCGGAAAGATGGCGGCACAGAGCCTCACGTCGTTCCACCTCCTGTTTGAGTTTGCGCTGCAGCCTGGCGTTCTCCTCCCTGATGGACTTCTCCTCCTTTTGGGCGGTAGCGAGATTGGCGCGCAGACGCAGCACCTCGGAGCGCAGCGTCTGGATGTGTGCGCTCAAATTGGTGGCGGTGTCGCCATTGGCATTATTGGTGATATCACGTGGCGTTGTCGGATCAGAGACCGGCTGATCAAGTTTTATTTGCAGTGAGCGCTTCTCCGTCTCCAACTTGTCCATGCGTTTCCACAGTTTGTTGACCAGCGCCTCCTGTTCCTGTTCGAGTGTGTTCTCCAGCTCAACCATTTCGCGACGCAGCTGCTCGAGATTGGTCTGCTTGTTATCTGTTTCCGCTTGCAGTTTTTCGATTTTGCGCATCAGCTTGTTGACCAAGCACTCCTGCTCCTGCTCCAGCGTCTGCTCTAGCTTGCACTTCTCCTGGCGCAGCTGGTCCAGCTTGCGTGACAAGTCGTTCGTGAGGCACTCTTCCTCGCGCTCGTAGTGATGCGCCAGCGTCTCCTTTTCCTTCTTAAGTGCTTGGATTTTCTTCAACAGTGTGTTGGAAATGTACTCTTCCTCCTGTTCCGCCTTGGCTTGCTGTCAATGGAAATCATTTGGCTACAGTTGGCACGCACGTTTCTATTGCAAGTACTCACGATTATAACAGATGCCTGTTTCAAAAAGCGATTCTCCTCCTGCACCACTTTGCATTTTGTCTTGGACGTGTCCAGCTCAGCTTTTAGAACTCTGCGAAATGTAAAATAAGCAAAAAGGTTTAAGAAGTTTCTGGAACTCCTTGGGCTCACTCACTTATTTTGCTGTGTCAGCGACTCGATGCGCTTCTGTAGCTGCTCCCGGGAAACTGGACTCGGTGGCAGCATTGTGCCACCATCCAGGGAGCTCTCCGACTCACAAGGACTCTCCATAGCTGCAGGGAAAGAGAGAAAACAGTCGCGATGCGACGCTGGCAATTAAAACGAATTTCTCGACTTTGCTTTCGCTTGAAATTCAATAAAGAAAAATAAAAGGGAAAACAGCGCAAAACAACAAAAGAATAATGTATGCGCTTCTGGGACTCTGATCGCAGTTGTTGTTCTTTTATTTCTTGAATATTTTTGTTGTCGCTGTTGTTGTTGCCGTTATTCTTATTGTTGTCGCGCAGCGCAGCAAACAAAGAACAGCGTCCGTGCCATAGAAAATTGTTTAACCTTCACTTGTGTGCAGTTCACTTGATTTTTGCCTTTGCTGTCTGATTTTTTTTTATTTTATTCTCATTTTCACTTTTTTTGGGCTTTTTTTATGCAATTTCAGAAATCGATAGCAGCACAAGGTCAGCCAGAGTGGCAGTGGCATTGAATGGAACAGACATCTCGCGCCGAAGGAGGCGGCTCCAGGGAATCTGAATGGCCAGTGCCACCCACCCCAGCAGAGGCAGGCGGGCGCCCCTGCGTACGCCCCTCTGCACAACGCCTGACCCCTTCAACAGCTGCCGACAAAAACGTTGCCGTTCAGACGTTGCTGGTCGTTTTAATTGAAAAGTTTGCATTTACACTTGGCAAACATTTTGCATTGCTTTACGCTTAATTAACATTTACCTGAACTCTGCCGTCGCTTCTTTTGTTTGGCTCCCTAAAAGAAAATTTTTTTTACTACGCGCCGCCTTTGCTGCTGGTGCTGCTTCTTGCCAGTGCCAGTGCCAGGGCGAGAGTATTGAGCTTTTATATTTTTTGACAGCGCTCTGTCAGTGTTACTGGGCGTTTGGCGTACAAAGGATGTGTATGCGTGTGCCAATAAGTCGGGCCTATTTAATAGGTTTTCACTTTGCCAAAACGCAAAAGCATTTTGCAAGTTTAACTAAAAATGAATAATGCGAAAAAATTGCTTCGCAGCACAGTGTGACCGTTTGGCCCCCAAAACTAAAATCCACAGTGTGACCGAAATTCTTTTTCAAACGAAAATGTCAAAAACCCTTATGTCTAGCTTGGTATTAAAATACCAAACTGTTTCACATCGCCGCTAGCACGTGCAATCCCACACATAAACAGTTGCGGAAATTTACATTATTTTCTTTTAAATAATGGCCGATGATGCTGGCCAGGACAAGCGTAAACAGCACCGCGCACGCCAGTCCGGCGTCAAGGCGGACAAGAAGAAGGTAAAGGCCAAAAAGGACGCCAATCAAAAGGAACCAGAGCTGACTGCGCGCCAACGTAATCCAAAAGCGTTTGCCATCAACTCGGCCCAGCGTGCGGAGCGCAATTTCCGACGCAAAGAGGATCTAACGGCCAAGAAGCAGCACATACCCGTCGTCGACCAGACACCCGATGAGCCGCCGCCAGTGCTGATTGCCATTGTGGGCCCACCCAAAGTGGGCAAAACAACGCTCATCAAGAATCTGATCAAGAGCTTCACGCGCACCAATGTCACGGACATACGTGGTCCCATCACCATAGTTACCTCAAAGAAGCGCCGCATTACTCTGCTGGAGTGCAACAATGACATCAACTCCATGATCGATGTAGCCAAGTGCGCGGATCTGGTGCTGCTACTCTGTGATGCCAGCTACGGCTTCGAAATGGAGATCTTCGAGTTCCTCAATATATGCCAGGTGCACGGCATGCCCAAGATAATGGGTGTGCTGACGCACCTGGACATGATCAAGAATCCCAAACAGCTGCGCAAACGCAAAAAGGAGCTGAAGCATCGCTTCTGGACGGAGGTTTACGACGGCGCCAAGCTCTTCTATCTGTCGGGTCTTCTGCATGGCGAGTACTTGCGTAATGAGATCAAGAATCTGGGCCGGTTTATATCTGTCATAAAGTTCCGGCCACTCCAGTGGCGTGGCGCGCACAGCTACCTTCTGGTGGATCGTGTGGAGGACATCACCAACACGGACACGGTGCGCCGTAATCCCAAGTGCGATCGCGAAGTTGTCCTCTATGGCTATGTGCGCGGTGTGCCGCTCAAGCAGGAGCACATGGTGCACATTGCTGGCCTGGGCGACGCACGCATTGACGAGCTGAGCCTCATACCTGATCCGTGTCCATTGCCGGGCACAGAGAAGAAGCGTAGCCTGTTGGAAAAGGAGCGTCTACTCTATGCACCCATGTCGGGTGTGGGTGGCATCGTATACGACAAGGATGCGGTCTACATTGAGCTCCAAGGATCACACTCGCACAAGGAGAAAACGGCCGAGGCCACGGAGCAGGAGGCGCTAGTCAACAAGCTGATAGACAAGAAAACCACCATGGATGAGCAGATTGAACAGCAGGAGTTCCGACTCTTTTCAGACAGTGTGCCTATCAAGTCCAAGGATTTCAAAAGCGAAGATGAAGCCGAGGACGAGGACGATTCAGAGCAGGAAGATGAGAACGATGCAGATGATTCGGGGATGGACGCAGCCTCCGGCGATGAAGACCAGCCCGACGAATTTGCGGCCGACGATTGGCGTGATGAAAATAGCGATGAGGTCGAGCAGATGGAACAGGACAGTGACGATGCGTCCTCCGGCGATGAGGAGTATCAATGTTTGACAGATGTCAAGGGAGCCGCGGCGCCAAGCGATGGCTCCGACGAAGAGGATGATGAAGCACGCATCCTGGCCAGCAACATGAGCTGGAAAACGAATATGGCGCAAAAGGCGCGCGATGCTTTCCTGCAACGCCACTCGGAGTCGCGCAATCTGATGCGTCTGGTATACGGAGTATACAATCAGGGCGAAGTCAACAGGCAGCAGCAAGAGGATGCCGACGACTCTGAGGAGGAGTTGGGCGGTCTGTTTCGCGTGGCCACCAAAAAGCAAACGGAACTGCAGAAGGACAAGGACATACGTGACAAAGACGAGCGCTGCTTCTTCGAGTATCAAAGCGGTAAGTGTGGTCAATATTTTAGACTAGAGTAGATTCGAATTTTTCCCGCATCAGATGCTACGCGAGACTGGCTATCCGAGGCAAACAAGGAGCTAATCAAGAACTGCTTTGTGACTGGCAAGTGGAAGGCTTCGGAGGATGCCGAAAATTTGCTCAAGCTGGATGACATGAGCGATGCGGACAGCGAGGTGTATGGCGACTTTGAGGATCTGGAGACGGGTGAGCAGCACAGCGGCAAGCCCAAGGCAGCGATCGCCGAGGACGAGCCAAACGATGATGAGGCAGCTGCTCCAGCTGCTACGGCTGCCAAACGTAAAATGACGCGCGTGGAGGAGGAGAATCTGACAAAAGCCGAACTGATGGCCAAGAAGCTAAAGCTGAAGGCCAAATTCGATGCGGAGTACGACAACAGCGGCGAGAAGGCTGAGGACGATGGCGGCCGGATCACTGGCGACCATTCCTTCTACGAGGACCTTAAGGCGGAGGCGCAGAAGCAAAGCGAACTGAACAAAAGCGAATTTGCCCAGCTGGACAACGAGCTGCGTATTCAAATCGAAGGCTACCGCGCCGGCCTTTATGTGCGCCTGGGCTTTAAGACAATTCCTGCGGAGTTTGTGGAGAATTTCGATGCCAGTTATCCCGTGCTGGTGGGCGCACTCAACATGACCGAGGAGAATGTGGGCTATGTCAATTGCAAGGTTAAAAAGCATCGCTGGTACAAGAAGATCCTCAAGACGGGCGATCCGCTTATAGTCTCAATGGGCTGGCGTCGCTTCCAAACGGTCGCCATTTATGCCAAGGTGGAGGATAACCTGAGGCATCGTTATCTGAAGTATACGCCCAATCATGTGACCTGCAGCATGACCTTTTGGGGTCCAATAACGCCGCAGAATACTGGCTTCTTGGCGCTGCAAACGGTGCGCCAGGATCAGGAGGAAATGAAGCGTTTGGGCTTCCGCATAGCCGCCACAGGCTGCGTTACCGAACTGGACAAATCGTCGCAGATCATGAAAAAACTTAAGCTGGTTGGACATCCATTCAAAATCTACAAAAACACGGCGTTCATTAAGGACATGTTCACCTCTTCGCTTGAGGTGGCCAAATTTGAGGGCGCCAAAATCAAGACCGTTTCCGGTATACGCGGCCAAATCAAGAAGGCGCATCACACGCCCGAGGGCTCCTATCGTGCAACATTCGAGGACAAGATTCTGCTCAGCGACATTGTCTTCTGTCGCACCTGGTTCCGTGTGGATGTGCCACGTTTCTACGCTCCAATCACATCGCTGCTGCTGCCACCCGAGCAGAAGAGCCAGTGGCAGGGCATGAAGACGCTAGGTCAGTTAAAGCGGGAGCGAGCACTCCAGAACGAAGCACAGCCGGATAGCATGTATACAGATATTGTGCGCAAGCCGAAGATCTTCCGCCCGCTGGTTATACCCAAGGCACTGCAGCGTGCGCTACCCTACAAGGATAAGCCCAAGCTGGCGCCAGACAATCCTAGGCAAGTGCTCGAACGCGTTGCCGTTATCAACTCGCCCTACGAGCAGAAGGTGGCCAAAATGATGAAGATGATCGAGACCAACTACAAGGATAAGCGCCAACGCGAACGCAAGGAAACCAAGCAGCGTATGCAAAAGTTCCGAGCACAAAAACGTGACGAAGAAGCCTCCAAGCTGAGGCGGCAAAAGGAGCTGCGCAAGAAGGTCTCCCGGGCCATCAGCAAGATGCGTGGCAGAAACAATAAATGATGTACATATAAATCTTAGGATAAGCGTGAAAATAAATTTGTACAATTTAAAATGGTTTACACAACTCGCTTTTACTTGCTCAACGGCGCTGGAGCAGGTGCAACACGCACTGAACCAAATCCTGGCACAAATGGGCAAGCCATCCATATGGACCAGCACTTGTCCAGCAATTGCTGCACATGCTACGGCTACCGCGCTTACAGAGCTCTTTACTTGGAATCAATTAAAAAATATAACTTAACGCAGCTTAAAGTCTAGAAAAAGAAAAACTGAAACTAGTCCTCATCCTTGTTGTCATCGATGACCTTGAGCGCGGCGAGCAGAGCATGCTTGCGACTGGCAACCATTTGGCCCCCGGCGCCAACTCCGGCGGTGCCTGTAGAAGAGATGCTGCTGCGCTTCTTCTTGGCGGGATCATCGCGCATGTTGCTGCCCGAGTTCGGGCGACAATGTATGTCCAAGAAGCTCTCGCGTTCCTTGTAGTCATCAGAGATTAGCTTTCGCAAGCCAGACACATTCTCCTTCATGCTGGGCGCACGCAAATTACCCTTTTGCTGTGTTGATGGAATAGTTACTATATAATTAATGGTTACTTAAGAGTTTTTTTGATTAGTTACCAAGCCTGCTTGGGTTGGGGGCTTTGGTGATTGTTCGTCGTCGTCGTCGTCGTCATCTTCATACTCCTCCTCCATCTCGAGCATCTCAGCCAGTTCACATTTTGTATCCAAGTAGGGGGCATATTCATCATTCTGAGACTCCTCCTCTTCGGTTCCATAATCTTCTTGGTCCATGTTTCCATACTTTTTGGCATCGCCATCTTCCTCATCGTCCACGCCACGCTCGGAATCTTCTTCGTAGTCGTATTCAAATGTTTTTGCTAGTGCCTCCAGTTTGTCGGCAGCCGCATCGGCTGCTGCAGTGTGCTTGGCACTTATATCGTTATCCCGGCGCTTGCTTGTCAGGCTGCTCCGCGCATTGCTGCTGGCCAGAGTGGATACACTGCCGCCAGCGCCGCTGCGCAGGCGAGGATTGGGTTTGGGCTTGGAAGGATTTAACTGGCCGAGACGGGACGAATTGTTTGAATTGTTGGCCAACGGCTTGGGCAGGGTGGTGGCCGGTGGCAGTGTCAATTTGGCGCGTGTTGGCTTGTCCTTATCCTGAGCATCCGGCACTTGAGCTGGGTTCTTCTCCTCATCGGCATCATCCTTCTCAAAGTCAAAATTGGAATCGGTCTCCAGGACGTCAGTCAGCGCATTAAATTCACTCTGGTTGTTCTTCTCAATGGCCTTGTCCAGCATTTCCAGTGACTTTTCCAGTTTGTCAATTTTGTCCGAATCCTCGACGGCAGTCAACTTGGTGCGGCGACCAGAGGCCAAGGGATTAGCCTTGTCAACCTGCAATTGCGCGCATGTAATATAGTTCAATAAATATATGTCGATTTTGGACTAACTGTAAACTCTTCCAGCTTGCGATAGCCGCTAATCTCGAGCCTGGCCTTCTCCAGCTTCAGCATGACCTCCTTGCATTTCTTCTGTTCGTTGAGCAGCTGCTGGCGAAAGTTCTTAGATTCCAGCTGCACCTTGCGTGTCATGAGCTTCATATCGTTATCCTTCTCTTGCAGTCGCTGCTCCAATGAGCGCAGCTTATCCTGCAGCTTCTGGCGTTCGTCTAGGTTTCTGCAAGACAACTTATTAGTTCCAACGATCCTCAGTAATCAACTAACGCTTACTTGTCCCTGATGAGCTGGCTGAAGTGTCTGTTCTGGTCGCTTAGCGTTAGAATCTGTGCCTCCTTTTGCTTGAGCTTTGCCTCCAGCTCCTTGTTGGCGGCTTGCACATTGCGATGCTTGGTCTGCCAGACGCGCAGCTCCTCGGCATGCGAATGCAATAGCTGCGGCAGCTCTGCTCCGGTATTCTCATATTTGTTGAGTGCCATCGACTGGCGCTTGTGCATGGTGCGCAGCATGCGATTCTCGTGCGCCAAATTGGATATCTCTGCCTGGGCATCGGCCAGCTGATTCTGAAAGGTTTTCGCGCGCAAATTGCGCGCCGACATTACGCGCTGATGTATCTCACTGGTGGCATTGTTGGGCACCATCGAGGGCTGGCGGATGCCATTGGCCTTCAAGCCGCGCGCCGGCTGCTTGCGCTGATAGATCTGGCTGGCGGATTCGCGAGAGCTGGCCGAGTAAAGGCTCTCACAGCTTTTTGCCGGCAACCTGAGAGTCGCGAGTTAAGGATGGAAGGCGGTTGAGGCACAATGTTGTTGTGATGCGGACCGCTTGGACACGGATACTTACGACATGGTGTTATTATCCCAGGCGAGATGCTCCACTAAAGATCGATGCGGTCTTGAGGCGTTACCATCAAAGTGCACACACAGTGTGCAATTTATTTTATTTTGTTGCGCAGAAAAGTTGTATTTATTGTGGCGTGCTTTTTTTCTATGTGTAAATATTGTTAATGCTGGATTCGAATGTGGGTATTGGGTATGTGTTGCCGGCTGTTCAGCTGTCGATTTATAACTGAAAATTGACTGGCTGCTGCTGTGGTTACGAATTTCTCGTTTGTTTATTGTTTGTTTGTACAAATTCATTGAAAACTCTAGCCTTGGGGCTGGTCAAATCTCCAATCCGTTGCCATGGCAAACAAAAAACAGCGGCAGTTGGCGCAGATGTAACGGTACTGGCCAATCGCCAAGCGAAAGCCTGCCTATCGATTGGCGCGGAGCTGGCAACTTGTTGCAATTCCCATAATGGTTCGCTCATCTAGTTCGCATGGACCAGCCAACTGGTTCGGCTGTGAACGGCAGCAGCTCTCAATTGAACACCGAACGGCGAACACTGGGCGCTTTCTATTTCAATGCATTTTCATTAATTGCTCCAGTTTGTTAAGTGAAAATCAATCAATGCAATTGTGCGCATCCGGAAGTATTACGACATATGTAGCGTGCCCGCATTAAAGTGTGTAGTTCAAATCGAAAGAATTCGCTTAAATAACTCTATAATTAAACAGCTGCAACACAAACTCATCTCATTTGTAGGCGAACCCAACGCACGTAGGCGCCGCGACAAGGACGTTTGAGGCTGACAGCCGGAGAGGGCACATTTGACGTCAGCATCCGCAATCAGCAACAGTAAAAGTACAAAGAACAGAGCAAAGTCTTGCAATGATTCACGTTGGCGAAAACTCATGGAATTTGCGCATCTTCATAACGGATCTGGCGCTGGAGCGCACGATGCGCGTGCGCGGCGATCAGCACCTGGGCAGCATACTGCTGCAGCTGGTCGATCCAGAGAATCCGAAGGACTGGTCCGATCATGCGCTCTACTGGCCGGCCAAGAACGTTTGGCTAACACGCACTCGCGCCACCCTCGACCAGTGCGGCGTGCAGGCAGACAGCTTGCTGCACTTTACGCCCATGCACAAGGTGCTGCGCGTCCAGTTGCCGGATCTGCGCTATATAGACTGTCGCGTGGACTACTCGGCGAAGACGTTCGGCGCTGTTGTGAATCTGTGCAAGCAGCTGGACATACGCTATCCGGAGGAGCTGTCGTTATGTAAGCCACTCGAGGCGGAGCATCTGAAGAAGAACTTTGCACAGCTGCCGCATCTGAAGCGTGTGCCCATAGCCGAACCGGATGGCACCACATATCTGCAACCGGCACCGGATACCAACTCGTTTGTGCCCATCAATTCGGGCTTTAATGGCGGCAGCAACGGCAGCCTGGACAAGCCATCAGCGCCGGGCCTGTTCTTCTGTGCGCCCCTGTCGCCGCACAATGCCGCAGGCAGGCGTTCACCCACGCCTCATACGCCCGGCAACCGGAAGCCCAGCCAAACTGGCTACGGCACCTACGACTCCTCCTCTAGTCTGGGCGATTTTCAAGAGAACCTGGCCAGCTCGCCGCATACGCCCAGTGCGGATGTGCGCGCTCGCCTACTGCGACCCAAATCGCTGGTGGAGAAGGCACGCCTCAATGTTGGCTGGCTGGACAGCTCGTTGTCTCTGATGGAACAGGGCATACGGGAGTACGATACACTGTGTTTACGTTTCAAGTACTATACGTTCTTTGATATGAATCCCAAGTACGATCAGGTGCGGATCAATCAGCTGTACGAGCAGGCCAAATGGTCCATACTGAACGAGGAGCTGGATTGCACCGAGGAGGAGACGCTTATGTTTGCCGCCTTGCAATTCCAGGTGAACCATCAGGTGGACATGCAGCCGCTGGCAGCCATTGACTCGGGCATTGAGACGTCCAGTCAGGAGAACGACGACGATGACATCGATTCCGCGCTCAATGAGCTGCAGATCACACTGGAAGGCAGCAATGCACATGATCCTGTTAATATCACACGCATACCGGAACTCTCCGATTATCTGCGCTTCCTCAAGCCCCAACGTTTCACGCTGAGAGGCTACAAACGCTATTATTTTATCTACCGCGACTTGCACTTGCATCTTTACAAGACTGCCGAGGATTCGCGATGCACTGCACCCGCCATTACCATCAATTTGCGCGGCTGCGAAGTCACACCGGACGTGAATCTTGCGCAGGGCAAATATGCCATACGCCTAGAGGTCTCGCCCGAGGACCATCATGGACCCAACAGCGAGGTCTGGGTGCGCTGCGAGAACGAGCAGCAGTACGCCAAGTGGCTGGCAGCCTGTCGCTTGGCAGCCAAGGGCCGCTCCTTGGCCGACAGCACATACGAGAGTGAAGTCGATGGTATCTTGTCGCTGCTGCAGATGCAGCGACCCGTGCACGGCGTGCATGTCAACATTGATCCGCGGAGCGTGGATGCTGTGGACTATCTGTCACCCAAGATGCTGCGCAAGCTGTCCGGCAAGGCGGTGCAGCGCATTCTGGAGGCGCATGCCAATGTGCGGGAGCTGACGCTGCTTGAAGCCAAGCTGAAGTACATACAGGCCTGGCAATCGCTGCCCGACTTTGGCGTCTCGCTGTTCATCATCAAGTTCGATGGCCATCGGAAGGAGGAGCTGCTGGGCGTGGCTCACAATCGCATTATGCGCATGGACCTGAGCACTGGGGATCACATTAAGACCTGGCGCTACAACAGCATGAAGGCCTGGAATGTCAATTGGGGCATTAAGTGCATGATGATACAGTTTAATGACGAGAATGTCGTCTTCTCTTGCCACTCCGCCGACTGTAAGGTGGTCCATGAGTTTATAGGCGGCTACATTTTTATGTCCATGCGCTCCAAGGATAACAATCAGACGCTGAACGAGGAACTCTTTCACAAACTGACGGGCGGCTGGTCGTAAATTGAATATTTTTCTAATTTATTGAAATCTTTTGTTGTTGACAGTGGCCTTGCTTAGAGCCCATTTTTATAACCTGACGAATGTCCCTACGGACGGATGCCTTTTTGAAGCGTTTTTCTTAACTAATCCTGGATGGATTCTAACTGATTTTAACTGAAAGTCTACAATACTAGCCAAGGGCGCTTTTGCCTTCCTAACTTTAATAACTGAGCCTTTATACAACTAACTCTTAAGCACAAATAAAATAACGCATTCTAACAAATGGTGTGGAATTCATATTTGAACTGGCCCGCGCGCCTTATGTTATCGATAACACGATACAAAAATGGAAGCTGCACTTGATATCGATAACTGTGTCAGCTGTTCGGCTGTAAACAAACCGTTTGTCAATGTTTTTGGCACTGAATAAAAAATGGCAGAAACCACATACGGTAAACGAAAGCCTTGGGTCAAGAACCTCTATTCAAACCGCGAATATCCGGATAACTATACGGATGTGAGTTTCCTGAAAGATCTGCGCACAAATCTTCACGTGCGCCTGTACACTTTCGGCGAGGCTGTTGCCGGCATAACCGTGCTGAACAATCAAATCTCGTGCATAACCGGATTCCTGATACTCTACCATTTGATGCTGGCGGAGAGTGTCGCACCCACCAGCATATTGGTGCCCACGTGCATCATAACTGGCATCGGCTATTTGTTCTATCGCGGCAGCAGTCTCAGCATGATGCTGTTGGGAGAGGACTCCAAGACGCTGGTCACGGTGCTGCTCTTTGGCTACATCTTTTCACCCATGCTGCACACATTGACGCAGGCCATCAGCACGGACACCATATATATGACGACTTTCTTTATGATGCTCTTCAATCTGATGTTCTCCGACTACGGCCTAGATGTGGCCATGGTCTCCAAGGCCATATCGCTGAATGCGGCCATATTCGGCGCCATCTGTCTGGCCTCGCGACTGTCCACGTCGTATCACGCCTTTGTTCTGCTCGTCGAGGCGGCGATCTTCTTTGTGCTGTACCCCATTATGATAGCAGCCACATGGCACCCCCTGTGCATGGTGCCCATATTTATCATCTGCTGCACGGCGCTCTATAATATATCACGGCCGGTTCTGTATCTATATGCCTGCAGCACGCTCTTCATCAACTTTGTCTGCCCGTTCATATTTGTGAGGCATCAGCGCCACAAGTTCAACATTCACGGTCCCTGGGACGAGGCAATTGTTGAGGAGAACACCGACAAGAATCTGGACGAGAATTTATAGCGCCAGCTTCGCTTCTCAGAGATGCAGTGCATCGATGACGGGGAGCACGAGTCAGAGCACTAAATACATAACTTTACGCTTAATTGAAATATTTAGCCACATTCAATGTAAAAAGCCTTTCTAATTAATGTAAATTTATTTTTTTTTATTATTTCAAATTCATATCTAAATCGTATATAGAGACAATTCCACTGTAAATAAAATCCATTTTTGTATTAAAATAAATTTATTGAACCTCGAAGAAATAAAAAAAAAGAATAAATTTATATTTACAAATGAAGTTTGGTTGCACAATCAAACTAGAAGGGCTTTCGCATAATAAAGCTATAGACCGAAAATAAAATAATTTGTATTGGTTTTCATTTGTCTCATTTAATTATAATTATTATGTTTGATGTGGGCATATTTACAAACATAAACGCAGACATATTGAAACAATCATAAAATAATACAGTTTTTATCGAATTAATGACAAAGTTGAAAAGCGCTTAAATTAACTGAAGTCTTAATTGCCATTGCAGTAAAAACCTTTTTACATTTAGCATTATGGTAAAAACTACTAAGAATAAGAAACTAATGCCTAAAGCTTGCGTACATATACAGTATGTATTTGTGTTTTATTTTTATTTTCCTTTCATAGAATTTGCATATGATAATACACTAGGTATTTGTAATTCTATCAACTTTTCGCTAAACATTCGCACTAAACGCGCCCAACGGCCACTGTCTTTGATCATTAACTATATATATATATATATATAACTATTAAATACAATATATATATATTTTTTTTTGTTTTCGTTTTATGTATAAACTTTTTCAAAATGTAAAAAACGTACATATGCTTAATTGTTGTTACATGTTGCTTTGGACTTAATGCTAAAATTAACTATACCTTTGTGTTATTTTGTTTTTGTTTTATCGTGTTAACGCTATCAACATCCCATACAATCATTTATACGAATGACATTTTAACTGCATGTTTTTCGCGGCTCTAAGTCTAAAGTTTTTCTTGAATTGAATTAAACTAGCACAGAAAATCGAATAAAATACGCTGTGTGGGTTGTGTCTGTGCAGCGTTTGGGGTGGGTGGGGCTTCACAAAAACACAGACACGCTCAAATATTTTGTTTAAAACTAGACTCGCGCAATAACAACATCGCTTAACCACGGCTCAAGTCGACTGGCCCTATAAACGTAATTTGTTAATATGTAAATTCTACTAAAGAACAGTTTAAGTTGCCAAGAAGAATGCGTGTAATATATATAAAAAAAAAAAAGCCCAACACGACAATCTCCGTGTTCTGTTTCAGGTTTAAAGCGCCACCTCGTCACCGTTGCGCGTGCAGGCGCCGCCGCTGAGCTTCACCTGCTCCTGGCAATGCTGCTCGGCGCGCAGCTGCAGTTCGCGGCGTCGTTGTGCGGTTAGCGAGAGACTTGGACTGGCATCGCTGGCCGCGATGACTTTGGAAGTTGCTTGACTGTTTGGCTCGTAAAATATATCACGTGTTGATGTGCTTGGGCTTGTGGCAAAGTGTACTTGATGTTGTTGTGCTGGCTGCTGCTGCTGCTGTTGCTGTTGTCAGACTATTTCATTCTTTGGCGTTGGCTCCGCAGATCCTGTGACAGCGCTGCCGTTGCTTATCGCCTGATTGCCACTGGCGGCGGCTGCGGCTTCTAGCAGCGAACCGGCCTCAACATCGCCAGCCTGGCGTGCCGCATTACGTTGCCGGCACATGTACGGCGAATTGGTGGGCGAGGGCAGTTGATTCTGTAAGTGCTTAGAGTTAAGTTGCTGCAGCCAAATACAAGCTAATTGCTAATTACCAATTTGTTGTTGTTTTGGCAGCAGGTGGCCTTCACGCAGCCCTCGTCCGTGGTGGGGCAGTCGAGGGCGCAGCAATCGGAGCCGCTCATGTTAATGCTCGAGGTGCCATCGGACATATTGCAGCCCTCAATCTCACTAAACTCCGGCTGTATGGTAGTCGAGTGTATGCCCTCATTGTGAAAGAACTCCTTGACCTTCTCGGCTATCTTCATATACTCCGACAAATTGCGACAACTGCGGCGAATGACAAAATATTATTAGATAGAGGTAAACAATAATGATGTTGACTGCGTTTACCCTACCGTATATGCGCGGAGGCAATGATGCGATCGCCGGCCAATTGCCAGACATGAAACTCGTGCACGGCCAGCACGCCGTCGACCTTCTCCAGGAGTCGCTTCTGTATGGCATCCACCTGAATGTGCGTGGGCACCGTTTGCAGCAGAATTAGTGCAGATTCACGCAACAGCGGCCACACAGAGTGCAAGATAAGTGCCACGAGTACAATAGACAGAGCCGGATCAATGTACAAGCGATACTGCCAGTCGCTCTTCCAGACGACCAACGCGCTGACCACGACAATGACGCTGCCCAGGGCATCGCTGAGCACATGCAGAAAGGCGCCACGCATGTTCATCTGGCCGGGATCATGGCTGTGACCGTGACTGGACTTCTTCACCTGCTTCTCCTTCTGCTTCTCATAGGCATAATCGTTCTGCTCATCCTCGCCCTCGTCCATGTTGGCCAGCTCCGTGAGGCGGCTGTGATTGCGCGTCAGACCACCGCCATGCGAGTGTCCATGATGACCGCCGTGCTCTAAAGGTATTTCAATTGATTAAATGCTTGATAGACAATTAAGTAATATAAAGTATACGCACCATATAGCAGACACAGGCCAATCATATTGACCAGCAGACCCAGTATGCCCACGATAAGCAACAGCTCAGGTTTATGTATGGGCTCCTGCTCGATGAACCTATGGGAGAAAGTTTAAAAGTAAGTTTTGAGAGGAATAACATTGTGTTTAAACTTAACAGACTTGAGATCTGTTAAGCCGACAACTGTAAGCAAATGGCGCGCTGTTGTTTACATTAAAATTTTAATCGATTCATTTGTCACGAAGTAAGTCTTAATAAATAATGTTTTACATTTGTATATTTAGAGATTCTGATGAACGTAATGTGAACGTGTTGAACGTTGAATGTTTACATTTAACATCCAGTTCTATTGATAAGCACAGACGTGTGCCATATCTTGGATTACCTTGTTATTGACAGAACAACATAAAGGAAAGTGAGAACATTTGTTAAGGTTAATACTGTTAGCAAATGAGACGGCGTTAACGACATTATTTGTTCTGATTTGTGTAAATGATATGCAACGAAAGTGGACTGAACTGGTTTCAAATATTTGTAATCTTATTGCAGCGATTTCGGACCTACTGCGCCCAGCTCCACAGCGCTAATCATAGCTGTTTGAAGGCAAAGAAGAAGAGCTGGCTCGTTTATACAATCGTCGGGCGTATAAAAACGCGCATCGTAAAGTGGCAAGAAATATGCATGCGGCATGCAAATGGAATCGCTGCGAATAACAAATGGCGAATATCGAAAAACGTAAATTAAAATAAAAGATAACAAAATGAACGACTGACTAACAACAACAACAACAACAACAACAATAAATAAAATAAACAAAAACAAATTCAAGAAAATGTGAGCACACGAAACGGTGACAAGGCGAAACGTTCGAAATTGCGCGCTGGGTGTGCGAAGGCGTTGACCACGACAACAGCTACACACACACACACACTCAGAGAGAGACACACACATGCACAGGTACGTAATGGCACAGGTGCCTCACCTTTTGCAAGCCTCAATCGTGATGCTGAAGCAGAGCGCGACCAGAAACACCGCATTGACCAGAGCGCCCAGGACCTCGGCGCGCGCCCAGCCGAATGTGTTCTTTGACCATTTTTTGGGTGACATCTGTTGGGATTGGGAATATATATTAGTGAGTTAAACTATATAATAAGTGATAGCACTCACCTTAACTGACAGAAATGATATGACCAGGGCAGCTATATCGCCCAGCATGTGAAAGCTGTCCGCGACAAGGGCCATCGAATTGGTCACGTAGCCGACTATGATTTCCACAAAGAAGAAGAACGCCGTCAGCCACATCATCGAGAGGAGGCGGCATTTCTTGCCCGAATATTTGGACATCTTGGAGAAACTGAAAGAAGGCAAACAAAGCAAGAAACGTATATACAAATTTGCACAGGCATTTTGGAAGACGCAGAAGATCTTTTGGGTAAATATATATAGATACATTAACTAGATTAGTATATATGCAGCGTGTATATGCTTAATCTTTGACTATATGGTTGCTTTCATTAAGTTTTATTTAACGCCCACAGAATGCGTTCATTCACCTCTCGATTCAAAACTCGATTGAATTCAAAGCTTATTTTCGTTTGGCAACAAATTTGTTCGGTAAACAAATTAACAACAAATTGAATGCATTCATTTGTCACAAAAAAAAAAAAAAAAACAAAACAAAAATAGAAGAAAACTTTTACCTGAGATTTAATTGAATGAAAAAATAGATAAAATGGGAAAACAATTTAGGCAACGCTTGAATGCGCCCTGCAAATGGGCTTGGCCTGTTCCTGGGCTGTTTTTTTTTTGGTTTTTAATGCTTGACTGGAGCTGTGGGCAGCTCTTTGGGCTCCGATTGATTGATTCGGGAAAACTTACGCAAAGAACTTCATTTGGCTGCAGGATTTCTGGGACACAGAAGCTGCCGCTGCCGCTGCTGCTGCGTTGCCTCTGCGTGTGGCTTATAGACTGTTATGTGCAGGCTTCAATTGTATGTATTATATATAGATATATTATATATGTATATAATATATTATTACTAAGAAGCGGGCCGATCGACTGCCGTTGCAGCAGCAGCAATTTTTTTTTTTTTTTGTGTAAACATATACCACAATTATACAAAACAATTTCAACTGAAACGAATGAAATACAAAGAACCCCGCGCGCACAGACGACAATAAACTTGTCGTCAAGCGGCAGGGTAACTCGGAGAGGGGTAGGGTAGGGGAGGGGGTGGGTGGATGTAGGTGATGTGGGTGCAGTTAAAAAAGGCGGCGAGGGGTATAGATAGGGGTAAGGGCTGGAGCAGCCAGCTAGTTGTTTTTGTACTGGTAGCTAAGAAAACAATTTGCGATCAGCCGTTGACTAAGCAACCAAACAAAGCAGGCAAAAGTGGGCTCTAGCCGGGAGTAACCGACTGGGAGATGCCCTGTAGTTTAGTTTTGGCTTATGCAATGATAGTTTCTTTCACTTGCCCCCCAAGATATGTAAACAAATTCCAAATAACTTGGCTAGTTAATTAGTTCGATCTTTGGCTTAATTTCAGCGCTCAAATATGGCACACAAAGGGATATATATATCAAAGCGCAAGATTCTAATCTAAGAAATTGGGTATCCTGCCAATTTTGGGGCAAGTATGTGTTGATCTGTATAAACCAAAGAAAAAAATGTAGTTTATCTCTTGATAATTACTCCGAGTTTTGCCTTAAGAACCATGTCTTAAATATATTTTGAGCTATATATAGTATACAAATGGAAGGAGATCTGGATATAGGCTTAATT